AGAGAGAGAGAGAGAGAGAGAGAGAGAGAGAGAGAGAGAGAGAGAGATTGTCCTGTTATGGGAAATCTAAGTTGTTCTGTCTATTCTATCAAAAGTTAAGAGACATAATAATTTCCATCTTTTCAAAAAAGTCATCCAGCTGCATCTGGCAAAAATACTTCCCCCAGTCATTGTGTAAGACTTTGTGGCTGAGCCCTGACCATTCAAAATAAGGATCCCATCACATTAGGCACAGAAACCCAGTGGGACTCCCTCCTGCATGTGCTACCCTGCTTCCTTGATTAAGTATCACTACGTGCTCCTATGCAGAAGTAAACATTTTTCTCTTGCTAGAATGCTTTGGTTTGTGTGGTCTCATTTTCTTAAGACCCATTGTAAACACTGGGACATGATGCAGTCGCTCCCAAGAACATGACTTTAATGACATGTTCTTCTGTTAGATCCAATCCTATAGTTTCCAGAACCTTACAAAATAATACCATCAGCAGTGGATCAAATGTTCTACACAAAAAAGGCTGTTGTGTACATTTCATATTCAAATCATAACATTATCAATGTAGGGATGATTGGAAAAGCACTGATAACACTTAAAAACATTTACTGCCTTCTAAGTTTTTATTTAACATAGTTATGACCACCCTTTATTTTGTGCCTTAATTTTTAAAAAATTAAATTTGACTGAGCACTTCATTGCTCTTATGAACTCTGTGCAGCCAACTGCAGTGGTGTGTACCTATAATCTTAGTGTATGGTGGCTTAGTCATGAATATCATGAGTTTAAGGTCAGCCTAGGCTACAAGAGTGAAATAGAAAATGCTTTATATACTTCATATTAAATAACGTTTATGCCTCTACGGACTTGTTAATTTTATAGTTTATTTAATTATCTCTTGCATTTGAAACAATTGACTTTTTTTTTTCGAGACAGGGTTTCTCAAAAGCGTAGTTTTGGTGCCTGTCCTGGATCTCGCTCTTTAGACCAGGCTGGCCTCGAACTCACAGAGATCCACCTGCTTCTGCCTCCCGAATGCTGGAATTAAAGGCATGAGCTACTGCTGCCTGGTAATTTATGTCTTTTTTTATTTTTTAGATCTTTCATTATGTTATGTTTCTTTCTCCCCATCACCTCTCTTCCTCTTTGTTCTTATTCAGTTTAATAAGAAACTTTAAAACCTTGAGATATGTGGGATCTTCTAAGACAGGGTTAGAACTTTCAGAAAAATATTGAAGTCCATTAATTAGTATGTTGAGAAATCTCATGAAGGGGAGGAAAGTCGTGATGACAGCATCCCTCCAAGAGACAAGCTTGAATCAAGATTGTACAGAGACAATACATATGCATATTTATGTAAATATGTGTATGTAGGTGTGTGTTTTCTGTAAATATGTTTACATATTTGTGTGTGTCTTGAATATGTGTGTTAGGTTAGCTCCATGAAACATTAGCTAGTCAGCAGCTGGGATTAAGAACAATATGTCCAATTAAATTCTAAAACACATTGCCAGTTCAGCAGGCAGCAGGTCAGGCAGCCTTTGTTGAGTAATATTGTCTCACAGTTTTGGAGAATTGTGGCAGCAGCCATGGATGCCTCTTTCAATCCAGATGTTCTGGTAGCTGAATCCCTTCAAGACAGGAGTGGAAGAACCTTGTTTTAATTAATGGTAATTGATGTCTAAATAACACTCAGACAATCTGGTGGGCAACTGTAAATTGAGCATGGTCAAGGAGAAGAGTGTTAACTTCCTAGCTTTAAAAGACTACTGAGGAGCAGTCATGGTAATGGCTGTGCACACTAGTAGTGAGAACAGACCAGTTAGGTCAACGAAATTTGGTCAGGCAGAAGCCCGGGACCAGGGACCTCTTGAGAAATTAAGATGGTGTGTGTGTGTGTGTGTGTGTGTGTGTGTGTGTGTGTGTGTTTGTGTTTGCTACTGGGAACTGAATGCCAGTCAAGCAAGCACTGTACTACACAGCTATATCCCTAACACTCTTTTTACTTTTGAAGAGTAAAGAGTTATCTGTGTTGGCCTTCAACTCACTCTGTAACCCAACTTGGTCCTTGAGTACTATATCCTCCTTCCTCAGCCTCAGGTGTAGATGGGATTACAGCCCTACACTGCTATGTCCAAGGTCAGATGTACAGTCATATTCTCAACAGATTTGAAGAGCTAGTTTTTAATGAAATAAAAAATTACTGCCACAGTGTATGAAAATTGTCAATATGCTGTATTTTTGCTCTTAAAAACTTTTAATCCAAATATGTTTCTTTTTCTTTTATTTGAACTTTTTTTTTTTCAGAAAATTAGTGTGATTTCACACTATGGTAAATTATTTGTCAAATAAAATCTCAAATATTAATAATGAATTGGAATCTTTTTTCAGTGTTAGGATCAAAATGTTTGGTGTAAGAGTAAACTCTCTTTAAGCATAAAATAGTTAAAATATTAGTTTTTTTTAAGATTATTGCTGTTCTTTGCTTCTAAGCAATTAGTACTTTTTTGAAAAACATGTCAAAATAGTAATACCAAACTTTAATTCTGTTGATTGCAGAATTCTTGTTGATTTTTGTTCCAACTTTGTCTTCTTAAAGTGCCTCCAGGGGTCCCCAAGGGAAGTGGCACTTCCTGTGTGTGGTCCCTATGTCTGCAATGCAGCAAAACACCATCATTTTGACTCATTCTTGAATCCCAGTCATATTCCTCTCAAAATATCTTTTTTCTGACCCAACTGTCAATACATATGTATGTATGTGTGTGTGTGTGTGTTTGTATACATAAATGTTTAAAACACAAGTTGTAAGAATATGATTTGAATTTGAAAGGCAGACTCCTTTATCTGCCTCCTGGCCTACTCAGAAGTGATTGTCTAGACAGGAAGAAAGGGATACCTGTGTGAACATGAACATTCATATGAACTGTGTTCATGTCTCTCTCATCTTTAGAATGAAAGTATAGAGTATATCAAGTAAAGTTGCTTTCTGTGAACTATGTTGCTTGACTTCCAGCATTTCAGGAGATAAAATAAGAACTGATATTCCAGATCTGAGTGCTTCTAATGGAAAGCTGTTGTAAGTAGACTAGATTCTGATACAAGTTGAGTTTGAATTTACTCTATATGAAGCAACCTACTTATTGATGACATGTTTAAAATAAGATATCTGTATATTGGAGGTGGGTTAGAACCACCCATAGCCACGTCTTAGAGTGGGTTACTGAATATATGAAATTTTCTTTAAGGAAAACACAAGGTCGAGTCATTCACTTGGAATCAAGAGCCAATCGTACTATGGATTTTAGGCTATGCTAACTCATAGAGGAAAAAATCTGATTCTGAAATCCTACTGAACTTTTATACTCATTTACTGGTGTTTATTAAGGTAGAAACAAGTCCCATACATAACATTTAAGCGTCCTTAAATAAGTAATAATGATATTACAAAACCACAAAAATGAAAAAGAACTTCACTGATTAATGTATGAAAATTTTATAATATTCCTAGTCAAGGAAACCAAACTTGTCCTAGTCTTACATTTCAGATTATATGGTTTTAATGACTAAAAGTTGTCACAGTGTGTTCATACTTGTAAGTGCTTTCTTAAATGAAAATTGCATGTTATGTTAGGATTTTCACACGTAAAAAGAGTGAACATAAAGAGTTAGCTCTAGTGGTTGCACAAAATCCCCCCTCAAATCATCATTTATTAATGAAAGATAGTGTTATTTTGAACTGCATAGTGCACAGATCTTACAAATTTTATGCACTAATACTGCCAAAGATTGTGGTGTGTGTGTGTGTGTGTGTGTGTGTGTGTGTGTGTGTGTGTGTGTGTTTACATTTTTATTTAAGGGTCAATAGGAGATATGTTCCTAACTCAACTTCAAAAAGTATCAAATAGCGACATTCAAGGCACATTATGCTCCCATTAAATTCCCATTGTGACTGAACAGTTGCATCTACGAGAGAGAAATTACAGAAGTTATTGTATATCTGGAGATTTTTTAATAGAATTAAAAAAAATAAGAATATAAAACAGTGTGTGGAAACCACTCAACCTGCTCTGCTTAGAATAGTTAATATATTCTGGCAGGTGACATTTTCAGTTTCTTCCTCTTTCCTTTCTCCTCTCTTTGAAGATGTTTGAATAGCTAATGCAAATGACTATAGCTCCAACACAGCCATCATTATCAGCGAAATGATCCATCCCTTTGAATCTCCCAAATCAAGTGGTGCTCCTTTGGTAGAGTTTGGAACACCTATACTGGAAGGTGTTGTGGGAGGGGGAGGTGGCTCGCTCCGACAGGTTGGAATTGGTGGCTGCCATGTACTATCACCCTCACACACGACGGTGTCGCTCCCATGGAGGAAAAGCCCCTGGTTACATTCAAACATGACCGTTGCTCTATAGGAATATTTCTTGCTGAATCCTGATGTCTGTCTCCCATTTTGAATCACGGGACGTGGACATTTGACCACTTTGCACTCAGGAGGGTTAGCACTCCATAATCTATTTTCAGAGCAATACATCTTGCTCTCGCCAACAAGTGATAGTTCATCCATACCGGAAACGCGGTTGCATCGGTAAGTTACCACTTCATGATATTCAAATACATCTTGGTGACTTGGGAAGAATTCTCCATTTGCTATATTTGGAGGTGGTTGACACAAAATCTTTGAACATACTGGGGGTTCAGCACTCCACTGAACCTCTGATTCTGAAAGAAGAATACAATGTAGAACTCCTTCACCAATTAAGTAAAATCCAGGATTGCAAACGTATTGAATTTGTGTACCAAACTCAGAACTTCCGTTCAGGTAGTTTACTTGGCCATTTACAGGATCACCTTGCCTTGGGCATGATTTTCTGTAACAAGCATTCTTTGAAATGGGTGACCACTGGCCATTTGCAGTACACACACTGGAGATGTTGAAAGCAGGTTGTCTTATGAATCCTGGTCTACATGTATATTGTACTTGCTCCCCAACCCCATAACTGGTTTTAGGATTGCCTTTGAGCTTCATGTTTGCAAACGTTGGTGGCTTACCACAGGCATGAGAAGATGTAGACAGCAAGGTCACAAGGAGAGTCACAAGAAAGCACTGAGCAGAAAAGTGGTCTGGGAGGTGTTGGAGAGGCATCCCGCTCAGTGCTGAACAGGTCAGGCTTTATTTAAATGAGCTGAAAAATACGGAAGTCTAGGGCAGGACTTTCTCAGTCTGATTACCATACGCAACAATCCCTATATCCACCTAGCGTCAAGGCTAGAAGACTGATGGGCGTGGCTGGGCCACGCCCAGGAAGGACGTCACCAAAAGTACTGGCTGGCCTGGGTATATCAACATATCAACCAAATCTCACTGAAAAGTGGATTTGGGTTAGTTGTCTAAATCTGCAATGTTTAATCTTTGTTCATCAGCAAGGGGATTTACTTTTGAAGATCGATTCCTAGATGACGCGTATTACTGGCACTTTCTGTCTGAATTTGTCCCTAAGCAAACCTGAAGAAAGTATGTGTGTGCATGGAGTCTATTTGAAAGATTCCAGAATGCTCACGTGAGGGATTTTGGAAAATGGGATTAAGAAAGAAGAAAGTCAAATGTCATATGCTGTAATGATGATGTTACTGGCAACGGGGAATGAATCCTGCTGTGGACCCCTTTGGGAGGCTATCACAATGTCCTGAGAATCAGCCTACAGAGACTGGACACGTGGAACTGTAGAACTCATTAAGAACTAATGATTAGTACTTGCTTCCCTGGACAGTAGCTCCAGGTAGATCGACTCACCCCCATGCCTTCATGATATACCTCCTTCTTGAAGAAAATATCTGCTTGTAGCATGCAAGGATCTATCAGAGAGACAAGCCAACATGGGTTGGCCTAATTGACTAAGGTTTCTTGATCACAGCTTTCAAAATTCCCCCTCTGTCCCAAATTTAAGTTGTCTGATATCAGTGCCCATTTCTTTATACCATGTTCCTTTCGTTTTTCCAGTTCTTCTTCATTTTATTTGTAATAAATCAGCCTAGAAACATTTTTTCACCTTCCTTGTGTCCTTGTTTTCCCTTTTTAGAGTTTTATTTATTTTTTATTGAAAATTATACAATATTCTTATCATGGTTTTCACTCCCTCATCTCCTTCTAGATCCCACCTCCCCACCCATCCAATTCCACTCCCTCTATCCATCTCTCTTTAAAAAATAAGCAGGCAAATATAAAAAGCAAACACACCAGAAGAAAAAATAAATAAATAATAAATAACTAAAACAACCAAGAAAGCACAAGAAATACACATACCCAAATGCTCCTAAAATGTGGACTTCACATCTACTAAGAATGTTCTCAACACAGATGAACAACTCAAATTGCCAAGTTAAATATTTTTTTTTGTTTATTTGAATTTACTAATGACTCCTGTGATAAATTCTACTGAATACTCTGTAAAATATTACTACTGGTATCCTTCACCGAGCATATGTAGAGTGTTACCTCTCCAAGCAAGCTTACTCCCTCATTCTCTACATATCTGATTCTTTGGTTACATTTGTCTTGGTAATTCACATCATCTACATCCTAAGCGAAAAGATGGTACTTATTTCAGACATCTTCATATCATCTACTTCCCATGCCTAATCAGTCTTCCAGATTGTGCTTCCTGGAAAAAAATCCCTTTCTGATGATACACAATAAATCCTAACAGGATATATTTTTGACTAGGCCTGGTTAATCTTTGGAAATTACAAGATGCTGATATTGTCAGTGAATATCTCACACACATTTGAGGACCTGGTCACTCTTTTTAGATCTATCAACGGTTTCTTCTCTGTTTGCGACACTGCAGTGTAGTTGACAAAAATATATATTTATCATGTACAGTATTATGTCTTGATATACATTGTGAAATGATTACCATAATGATATCACTGAGATATCTACCACCTCACGTAGTAATATTACTGAATTTTATCTAGCTTCTCCTGTCTGCCTAATATATTAACATATGGGTCATTGTCATTCTGTTGATATAGTATATCAGATTTATTAATTTGCATATAGCTTTTCCTATCTTTGTAAAATGATTTATTTTAATTCCATGTGTTTGGGTGATTTGCCTATATGTATGTGTATCACATGTGTGCAGTGCCCAGAAGAAGACATTGGATCCTCTGGAACTAGAGTTACAGACAGCTGTGAGCCAGCATGTGGGTGCTGAGGACCCAACTCAGGTCTTTTGCAAGAGCAACAAGTGTTCATAACCACTGAGCCATCTCTCCAGGCCCTCTCTTGCATTTGCTGTCTCTTTAAAGCCTACCTCATGTCAGAAACCCTGGAGATGGCTTTAGGGCAGTCATTGGAATTCTATGTCCTTCTTCCTCATTCTGTTTTTCACTATTAATTGACTCATTTAATTGGCTTATTGAGGGCAGGCAGATATGTCTGGTTTGTTGGTACACAGACTGTGACCCCTAAGTCCAGGAACAGAGCTAGCAATGCAACTACTAAGTATGTATTTGTGGTTTGAAGAAAAGTAGCCCCCAGAGGCTCATATTCAAATGCTTAGTTATCAGAGAGTGGTCCTATTTGAAAATCACTAGGAGGTGTGGCCTTGTTGGAGGAAGCTTGTCACTGGGGATAGGCTTTGAGGTTTCAAAAGCCCAAGGCAGGCTCCCAGTGTCTCTTTCTTCCTGCTGTTTGCAGATCTACCTGTAGAACTCTCACCTACCTCTTCAGTACCACGTTTGCCTGTGTACTACCATGCTGTTAACCATGATGATATGGACTAAACTTCTGATACTGTAAGCCAGCCCCAGTTAAACTCTTCTCTTTTATAAGAATTGCTGTGGTGGTGGTATCTCTTCACAGCAATAAAACAGTGACCAAGACAGTATCCAAAGCAAATGAAGCATGCATGTTGATGAGACCTTTGTATTCCACATTCATTGCTGGCCAGTTTGCCAAGAAATGAGAAAAAATAATGAATAGCAAAGAAAATGTATTGGATATATAAACCAAAAAAGATATTTTTTTTTTAAAAAAAAGAATGAAATGTTGTCTTTATGACACTGGGTGGGGGGGGACTGAAGATCATCATATTAAGTGACAAGAGGCAGGGGGTTTGGTTACAGGTCAGTGGTGCACTGTTGTCTCAGAAATGCGAGGTGCTAGGTCCAGTCTTCAGCAGTGCACAAAGCAGGTTGGTGGAGGGGAATCGAGGCACAGAAAGACCAGTGCTTCATGCTCTGTCTCATAGGCAGAACCTTAAAAAATTGATTTTTTTACAATATAGTTGAGTGTAGACTTATGTTTACCAGATGCCAAGGAACATGGAAGTGGGTTATCAAGTTATAGAAAGTAATAAAAAGCTTGTATTTGCTATTGTAATACATATTGATTATAAGTGATGAAACTGACGATGAACAAAAAAATCACTAATCTATATGAAAGAATTTAGAATGCTTTTACCATAAAGAAATAACAAATTATGGATAAGGTAAATATATATAATCTGACTGGAATAATATGCAACATATATTGGTAGAAACTTAATGTCTAATTAATATGTACAACCTTTATGTGCCAGATAAATGTAAACTTTAAAGAACAGCACATATTCTTAGTAGAATTCAGCAGTGCTATCAGGTCCCAGCACTTCTTTCATGGCAGACTTTTTAATAGTGATTCAATCTCTCTTGTTATTGATTTATTTTATTTTTCTGTTCCTCTAGAATTCAATCTTAGAAGGTTGCCTGTGTCAGGAATGTATCCATTTCTTCTAGGTTTTCCATCTTGGGGCATATAATTGTTCATAACCACCTTTTATGATCTTTTGTATTTCTGTGAAATTGGTTGTAATATCTTTTTCCATTTCTAATTTTATTTGTTTGAATCACCTCTATTTTTTGTGTCTTAACTCTTTTTCCTCACTTTTTGTATTTATGTCAAAATTACAACTTTTTATAGTTTGTTTTCATTAATATCAGTGCAGAAATATCTGTTCAAATATATCTCTCTCAACTCTTATACCAGTGTTAGATGTTTATGAACATTATTATGAATCTAGAACATTTCCATCTTCATCATATCTGTATTTATATAGATATATGAATTACATATTTTATTTTGGTGAATGTCATTCATTTCATTTCAACATGAAGAACATCACTCTGTTAAATAGGGCATAGCTGGTAGTTATTAATTCCCTAAGCTTTTTATTTGGCTTGTTGTGAGGTCCAGCCTGGAGCCTATGTTTGCAGACTGTCCTTCAGCATGTGTCCACATGGCAGTCTGGTGCTCAGCACTCCTAAAGCCTCTATCTACACAGGTCAGCTTAGAGTATGCCTGACCCTGGGGTGGGGGTGGGGGATAGAGGAGTAGACAATGGGAAACTTTCCTTCTACTGCCTAAGTGTTTTCCCCACCTTATTTCTGTCTTCTAACAAAAATTATCGCCCCATGATCCCTTAGCTCTTGTGAAGGTATTTTCCTGGGAGACCTTCTATTCCACCATTACCTTAGTCATTTTGTATTGTTGTAACAGGATACAACATATTGGAGAATTGGTACTAATCAGGAATGTGTAAGCTTCTAGTTTGATAGGCTGAGAAGTCCAGAGTGAAATTCCTGGTGTCTGGTGAGGGTCTGTTGCATCAAAACATGGTAGAAAGCATCATATGACCACAATGTAAAGGTAGTATAAGAGAGGAAAGAAAGTGGCTGTGCTTGTCTTTTCTAAGGGGTGCTGTCCTGTGGTAAAGAGCCAGTACCCACAGCAATGACACTGATCCATTCATGAGGGCAAAAACAGTTGCCTTATCACTTCTTGAAGATCCCACTTCTTAATACTATCCCAATGGCAGTTAAGCCTAAACATCAATTTGGAGGGAACAAATATACAAATCATGGCAACTTTCTTATTAATACCACCCAGCCTATTTCTTTTGTCTGCAAATGCTCCTGACAGGAACTGTAAATTGTGCCAGTGGCTTCTTACTGCAGAATTCTCCAAGTACCATTGCAGCCACCTTATAAAAATGTCATTTGTACTTCTCATGCCCATGTGTTTGCATTATGGAAGTGGAAACCCTTAATGAGATAAAATAAGAATGCTGGTGCCCAAGACCCTGTAGACAGCATGGATGCTGATTGTATTGTCACTGCTGTTGTAGCTACCA